ATAAAACGTGATTTAGTCTCGGAATCTGTAGCCTAAGTGTGTGGCGAACTAGAATTGACAGGTAGCAGTCATCAGATTGTGTCGAGGATGTCGGAACAACCAGCAACCATACAATTGATCTGAGGTCTAACTACTTCTACTAACGACACTTGGAAGACACATGGGGCCAACTGCAAACAGCCTCCAGGGAATGGGAGATTTCCATTTGTCCGCTAGCTCCCCACAAGTAAGGCATGCAAATGTTTTATCAGATGAATAGCCATGTTTCATAACAATTTGGAGTACTTTGAATTCTGTGATTAACTTTAAAATGATAGGCAATATTATATGAGATAATTAGGTGAAGCATAGGGTGAATGAACAATTATTGCCATTTCAGATCACACTAAAATATGCCTATTTTCATAACAATGAACTAACTAAACTACGTGGGCAGCACAAGCCTTTTCATTATGGTATCAGAAGAAAGTCGTAAATTTAAACAGGTGGTTTTACACATGGATTGCATACTGCTCTAAAATTAACCAAAAGCACTTTGTTGGCCACTCTAACCCTGGAAATTGGCTATGGTCACATGCTAAATCCCATTCGGAAACTTGCAAATCAAACTCAAATCCTTCCCTTGGCAACATGGAGCGACCAGATGTTCTTAGATGTTGGCCTTTATCTTCATTTTTATCAAGTGGACTATTTCTGCTTCCTCGTGTACATGTACAAGACAATGTAAATGTATCTCATTCGTTCCTTTTAACTTATTGTTCCACTGGCTAAATATCTAGATAAAGTTTGAGTTTCACACCCAGAAGACGTCTTCACTGGGGATATCTGCACGGACCCAGAAGACGTCTTCACTGGGGATATCTGCACGGACCCAGAAGACGTCTTCACTGGGGATATCTGCGCGGATCTCCTTAACACACTGACCAGGAAATGGCTTTTCTACAGCACTTAAATCTAGATTCGTCCTGCAGGTTTGACAATCTTCGAGATACTTAATGGATGGAACTATTCTAGTTGCACAAGGTTTACCAAGTGTTGATGTAATGAGTAGTTGGTGATCTAAAACTGTTTTTGGCACTTTTTTTTAATAACTTTGTTTGTCCTTGGAGAGATATAGGATGATGCTGTTTATAAATTTTCTACATTTATGTATAAATAGCTGCATATCAATATCACAGAAAATTGATACTCGTTAATTAAAATTTCCTATGCGAAGTGAATCACTTCCTAATTAATTACATATACTGTCCAACTGTCTTACATCTTTTCCCAAGACTAGCTTCTCATTACACAATTTACATAAACACTCTCTTACATAACCTTATTTGGAACTCTACTGTTTTGCAACTTATGTGAAAATCTTTACAGTTCCACACAATAAAAATGGATATTTTCCTACATAAACTTATGTGATTGTGTATTGCCTTGCAGCTTTTTTAATTTTTTGTTTTAAATATACAACCGACGTTAACACAGCAAGCTTTGCGAACCTGTTCCAACGTGTACTTTGGCACAGCTTCTTAAAGGAACGTCCACGGCATCTGCAACATGACCGTCACAATCTTCTTTCTATAAGAACATCGAAAAACTTCCGCACAATTCAAATTATCCCTGCTGACACCCTTTGATAAAATATCAGTTTATGCTAATCCTTTCTCGCATAAACTCTTTTGCTATTCGACTGCTTTAAAAAAAAAAAAAAGGTTTTGTAACATACTAACGTCGTGACAATAAACAACCGATGTAAATAACTTCCGACATGAGCCTACACACGCTACTATCTTGTAGCGTGTTTGTTTTTTTTTTACAGGAATAATTTAAACTGCCTTCAAAACTTACATAGCCCTTGCTTAAAACCTACTCTTTGCACCTTATTAAGAAAACATCCCCAAAACTGTGGGTATTGTGCGTTGGTAAATTCCTATATGACCCCTGTCACTATAAAGTGAAGGATGGGTATAGGTTATCATTTCTTTAAAAGACCTCGAAACTGTAGTAAAAATCTCACTTTTGAAGTACGAAAGATATACAAGTGCACTTTACTTTGGGACCCTAGCAAATAACTCCGGTCTATTAAAGTATAAAAACACATTCGTTTCTGTCCTTCTATTTACATCTTTATGAATAAGATTTCAATTTTTTTTTTGTATTCGACGCCAAACCTCTTTATTCTACTGGTGTTTATGTCCAATTGACAACTGGATCATTGAAATTAAAAATGTTACAAAAGTAAGGTTTTTTACTTTTTATCGAAACATTTATTAACTTATATTAGGCTCACTACTGGAGATTTATGTTTTTCAAGCATACGTGTAAATTGTCGCAAAACACGGTAACGTCTGTATATTTCTCAAGACATACGCACTTCCTTCACGTTGTAAAATATCGAAAAGACTTCCTTTGAACAGGTATTTAGAAAAATTATTTTACTCGTCTCTTATTAGGACAATCAGGGGAACATCTTCCGTCAGTTATTGATTTTAATGTAACTGGTGCCAAAATCAAACACGTTCCAAGGGGTCATCACAATGTAAACTTCTTACTCGTGTGAAAAAAAAAAAAAATGTCTATGCAAGTCTACAAAAAAATGGCTATCTTAACTGGGACAAGCCAACTTAAGAAGAATTAACAAATATATTACTATACTAATAAAATTACATAATGGTATTACCCATCCCACCTTACACTGCTCAAGTACGTTATCCATTACATCTTCAACTGGGCTAGCTTCAGCAGTGATGTCGATTGATAAGAATTTAGCACTTCAAAAAACATTCTTCTCTGAATACAAAGCCATTCAATATAGTTTATGAAAAATTCCATAAAACATCAATGACTACAAAAGCCCTAGTTGAAGCAAGATTTTTAGATATAAAAAAGAGGTGGGGATAAAATAAGAAATTTTTAGCGGCACACATTTTTTAACAAAATTTCTAAGTTAAGAAACACTGAGATGGCTTATCGTTTCTGCTTCGTTTGACTGGCATTTTACCTATATACTAACTATGTTCTGAATTTACTTTGGATCTCTGAAGTTCAAGAAATAAACTCCGACTTGAAATTGTGCAGCAGTGTTTTATTTCCGACAGTCCAAGTTAAAACTTTGCAAGTGCATAAGTAATCTATATAACTATAATATTACTGTCAGCTGTCTGTCCATGTAACTACTTCGCAAGGGTGTGGATGGATTTTCTCCAAAATCAGTGTCGAGGTTCATTAGGTCAATGCGGTTTTTTTTATGGGCGTTTTTTACCACTAATTCGCCCCCTGTAAATGAATCTTCACCAAATTCAGCATGAAGGTTTTTTTGGGTCCGTGCGGAGATACTTGCAGACTTGTGGTTTCACATTTTGTGTTTTGCAGTTTTTATGGGCGTTTTTTAAAATTGCCTATAAGAGAAGCATCTTTTCGTGTCCTAAAATAACCGTTCATTAATCATGAATTTAGATAACTTCCGTCCAGGGGACGAGTACTACAGCTAGTTGTAAATAAATTAGTGTTTCACCATACAACAATAGTGTAGTAAAGCTGTTTAAAACAGACTGTCTTGAAACTTCAAAGAGTCAGAAGATTGGTTACAAATAGCTTATTTTAGGGGAACGCTTGATTCAAGAAGATCATGGAATCTTCCTAGACTTTACACCTTTCGTCGTTACAGGCCATGTGCGTGTCTTTGTTGTTGTCGTTATACATGTTGGTACACTTTTATGCCTAAACTAGAAAGATTTCAGCAACGTGTTTCTATAATACTTAATGACTTACTATGAATAGAAACATATTTCGTTTTAAATGATACAAATATTTATATTCCGAATGCCTCTTTATATATTATAAAATCAGTCATTCTAGATCATTCTAATATCGTCCTTTACGCCTCTTTGTATATTCATATTAAAAAGAAAAGAGGATATCATTATAAAATAAATAAAGGACGATATTAGAATGATCTAGAATGACTGATTTTATTCTGAACCAATGCGAAAGGTTTATTTCTTTAGTTGATAATCTATACATTTAAAATATCGTTTAACTTAAAGCTTTTAATTTATGCTATTTTATCAATCATAGATTTTAAAATTTGAGGGACGATTAAAATTACATTAATATTGAGCTACAAAGCACCAATGTTAAGTATTTATTCTGCGAATCAAAGAGTAAAATATTGATCCAATCTCATAAAAAGGTTCTTGTGCAATGTACTTTGAAACTTATTTCGGTATTTTCATAATCAATATACATTTCTTACTAATATCCCTGGTAAGTCTATATTACTGTGTATCAACAATGCAATTACTTCGTTGCTAAAATGTATCTTGTTTTCCCCGTTTCATAAACATATGAAGTGAAATACTATCATTCTGTAGGCGGGCACGGTACCAAGTTCAAGTCACTTTACAGTCAAACATCCCTTTAATTACAGTTTTCATCCCATCGTAAAGTCGTTCAAAAAGGAGAGACAATATCTGCGATTTATTGTTTCCATGTAAATAGAACACGTTAAGCACGACCCTTCCCCTTCGATCAACCAGTAATGCTATGAGCCAAGAGAACTGACACCTCTAAGCAGCTAATTTTATCGTTTTACTGAAAACATTTGGGGCCTTCTGTTCTTTCTATTTAATAATGATAACCTAATAAACAGTACAGAAAAATTCACACCGACGAGCTCGACTAAAAGCCCACATACCCTTTAACACCATCCATATCTTAACATTTCGATGCCATTAAAATAATACAGGTAAAACTAACAGTAACAAGTAATGTAGTTTTCCTTTACACTGGCATGAAACATCGACTAATTATATCGACTGATTACAACCGTCATATACAGATTCGCAAGCCAGAGACTAAAAGTAAAATGAATTTTCTAAATAATGTCTGATCCCAAATACTGAGGTAAATGGTCTATTATTTAAGTGAAGATTTCTTACCAATTATATTCACATTTAATGGATAGCTGTAGCGTAACTAGCTTTAACATATTAATAAAACAAACTCACGTGACAGAAAACCAAGCACTGTTACTAGTCTCTTCCTTTCAAAATCACATTATTGTGCAAGTTGAGAAACGTTATAGCTTTTGAGTTCGACTGTAGTTGAACCATATCTAGGGGGAGCCAACCGTCCTCAACAGGACCTTCTCTTCTCTCACTACTTATAAAGATGCCAATAATATTTATGGCTACTAGTTCAAGCTTTGAAACCTACGCTAAACAGTACGAATAGTTGTTTTAAAATGTAAATAAACTAGTATAAACTCCACGATATCCTCTATAAATGATGAACTATGTGAAACAATATTAATATAACCCCGCCAATAATAACGTCCTCTAATACCAAAAAGCGCTTTTCACTTTCAACTCGTGTCGGGCCGTCTAGTCAGCCTCGAGCTGCTTTGTCTTGCTAGCGTCTTAACTTGTATGAGCGACGGGTAAGCGTGTTTGCGTGCACGGTTCCACAAGCAGCGTCGTGGGCGTGCCTATTTCCCCGAGGTTAGGCAGAGAAAGAGAAAGTGATGCATTTTGGCGCAAGAAACCACTAGACATATGTTAAGACAGCTTCCACGTTTTCGACCACTGATATATTGAAGAATTTAAGAAAAAGCAATTACACACGTCATTTACCCCGATAAAAATATGCTAATTAGTTAAGCTTAGTGAATTATTTTTATAGATATTCAAAAACCCAAGTTAAATAAATTTAGCCGTAAAGAAATAGTTTGTGTGTGTTCAGTGGTAAAGAAGGGCTTTCTGTTTCTGAACAATCACAGTCCTGATTCATTAAGTTTCTTGAAAACACCGTCTATTCAGTAACCTACTGCTTGGAGTTGAGCTTCAAATATTCCAATATTTTTATCAGCAGGTGCAGTAGGAAACTGTCTTGTTTTTTTATGCTAATGATGATGACATCCTCAAAGAGCAAGAAAGGCAAAATCAGCTTTATTTATGTATGCAATAGTTTTCCCTTATATAAATTTCTGCTTGTATTATATTCAGATTTAAACAGGCGACATTATAAGTACAACAACAGTACAGTTGAGAAACATAGACTAGGAACTGATGGTGATTCCTTCAATCTAAATTAGTTACAATTTTGAACAAAACAACTAGCACTACTAAACTAACAAGAATATTCAATGAGTATAAAAATGAATATGCTGATAAGAATAATTTGGCTGACGGCTATTCTAAAAGTAACACTACCATATTAGTAAAATCTCACATTCCTGGTTTTCGAGGAGTTAAGCATATAGGTAAGATTTTTGGTGTTAGTAAATATGTCACTGGTTTCCAAGCTACTGCTTTTTGCCCCACATGTTGTACACAAATCGGAAGACATTTAACTGTAAGCTGTATTTCCATAAAGTTTTCTATATGTCTTACCACACACACACACTCTTCATTAAACTGATCATTTAGCTGCACTACACCCTTTATCTTTCTGTGTACCCTTTAAAATATTTCACAAATAACTCTTGATTTAAATACACTGAATTACCATGATCTGCTATACCTCATGCTTTAAAAGCTTTGATTCTTTCGTTTTCTATATGACGTGACGCTAATTTCCAGTTGTATCAAAGTAGATAAAAACTAAAAATATAGAATAACTTAGAAAGAAATTTATATAAAATTGTTTAAAAAAAAGTCCAGAAAAGCAATTGAAAGTGCTTTTTTTTACCAAAGTGATAAATTTGTTGTTTGTGAAATTTTTGCGCAAATTTACTAGAGGGGCTTTCTCCTTTAGATATCCCTAACTTTGAGGTGATAGACAAGAGAAAAGACCACAAGTTAACACCCCCCACCGCCAATTCGTGGTCTACTCGAATTTGTGTGTGTGTGTGTGTAAAAATCATCAGACTTGAGTTATAACTTGTAAAGCATACAAGCCTCAAGCTACATCCCGAATGCAACGTGAGTTACAGTTTATACTTATATAATAAATTCACAACTGAAGTAAACAATCTTAGCACGTTTCCAAAGAATCAAATATTATATGTACAAATCGTAGTCATATTCTTTTGCGTTTCACAGATATGAATGTCGTGTTATGACAAAAGACTATTTAAGAAAGGCAACGGCGGTTTGTAGAATTTTTTTTTTAATAGTATGTCTCAATAGTCGTGTTACACTATCGTCTGTTACTTGTCAGTTGTCTTATCTTGCACCACGAGACTTCGTCATATCGAGGCTTGTATCTTTGTGCCGTTGGATACAAAGAAATGTAAATTCACGTACGCGCACAGATGATGTCATTCTAAACTTATGTTTCCCATCTCTACTTTTGATTACAAAACACAAATCTTCTTTCAATTTCCTGCTTTCTAGAACTGAAATTGTGAAAAGAAGTGAAATGCTGATTTGGATACATCAAATAAATGTTCCTTGAGAAATTCTAGTTTTAAACACATTCATTGTGAGTGTAACATTCTAATAAAAGCAAATAACTTTCATGAAATCAAAACATAAACAAGGACACGGTTTCACACACACACAGGATAATCAAAGAGTAAGCAGAAAATGTCAATGAGGGTTCATTGATAATAGTAACAGAAGTAGCTTAAAACTATTATTTCTTTTTTTATTATGAGATTTTCGTAGGGAAATTCCACAAAGTGTAATTCAAATCACATTTCATGTGTAAAGTCAATTTTGTTTATTTAAACAAAAGAACATTTCATCTACAATTAACATGTTAAAACATTGTATAAAAATAAAACAGTAGGAAAAAAAATTGAATTTGTGTACAAAATGATACATGGCATGTAGCAAGGGCATAGTACTGTACGCACATACAACGACACGACATGATAAATGCAATAAAAAATATATCATAAAATTTAAAATATTCTTAATTCTAAGAGTGATGTCAGTTTAATATCTATTTATTCTGGGAATTAGCAGTGTTTAAAAAAGCAGTAAACATTTATATCCTTTACCAAGCTGAACAACTAAACACAAAAAAAAAAAACAGAAGTAGGATGGGTCTCATTTTCATAAAACTAAACGGGGAATAAGTCTATTCATATCACGCACGTACGCATATTTCGGCCGAACCCCTATTTTTGTGATGTAAAAATTTATACTGATATAGTTATAGTGCAGCTGCTTATGGTATTTAACGTTTTCTACATTCTTCTGATGAAGCATTAGCATTTTTTGGCTTGAAATAGTTGCATGTCCCCAGACCCCGTAATATTAGCAGGCTTTGCATACTGATTGTACTTTGCACAATATGTGTTGGCTTTGGATCTCACAAATTAGAACCCCCTTTTCAAACATACCGCGTACGGGCCTGCATAGTGAATGTAAATAGAATACCAAAAGTCTATTGGTGTTTTAAAGAAGTTCTGTGTTTCTAGAAAGCCTTTGATTTAACTAAACAACCATTTTGATTGTCTAATAAAAGTACCATTTTGTATTCCTATAAGATGTCATTAATTCTCGCTTCATATTTTTATACGTTAACCACCTTCTGTGTCAGATTTTAAAATCTACCGAATCACTAAGTGGTGAAAATAACGTTTACTCACCCAACATGGCACAAAGGTTGAAGGTATCCCACCTAATAATATGGCACAGGTTAGTGTGATATTTTTGAAATAACTCATAATAAAACCGTTCGACGACAAGAGACCTACCAAACCCTTGGGGAATATTTGTTTTAAATAAAGTATTTACATTGAATAGCACAAGTTTTGTCACTACTGTTAAATTTAATGACAGAATCCTACAAATTCATGAACAATTTGTACAGAATGACTACTGTATTCACGATTTGTCTAACGCGAAGAATCGAACCCAAGTTTTTAGCTGACCCACCGAAGGACACAAAAAATGAAAACAGTAGACTCAACAAAGTAAAAAGTTGAATTATCTCAGACCTGGTTTACAGAAGTTTATCCAACAACATTCAGTTACGTTGCTCTATTCTTATTTCCAATTTAATTTTAAAACATTATAAGTAGCTACCTGCATTACATTCGCTATTTGAAAATGTTCTATTTCTTGTTTTCAAAATATAACTCTAAAAGAAATGTTTTAAACTCAGTCACAGCATCACTTAGGCGTTGAGCCGCATTATCTGCTACAGTAACATGGCAAACCATATACCATAAATATATCCGGTCGCTTCACAATAATTAACCGCTTCGAACACGAACTTTTTGCCTCTTCAGATTTACATCCTAAGATCAAAAAGAAAATAAAAATTATTGACGTTTTCTTCTCGGAATTTAGTTACCGACTAACAACCACATACACGTGTACCACCACTCCAGTCCCCCGCTGTACCTCTTGACTTTCTGTTTAACAATGATTTAGCTAGCTTCACGCAAGACAAGAATGCTATTAAGTTCTCTTATTGGCATGCTGCTATCTTAAGCAACACTCGGACCGGATGTCATGGCTGAGTTTCCGATTTTAGTTTAATGTTACCTTCCTATTCTACCCCATCGCCTCACATTCCTCCTTCCATTTGAAAGAATCTACAAATGTTCTTATAACTGTTCTTCTCTACCATTGGAACATAATGTATTGTATAGTAGCCGATATCAAAAACACGAATGAAAACCCTAATCAATCATTTACCCGGGCCGACCATTTGTGAGAAGCGAATATCAGAGTGATGGAATACAGAATTTCTGCTTCCTAAAGTTTTTGTTGGTTTAGTACAATTTGCGCGATGCTGCAGACACACGAGAGCATAATCTAATCTACTAGACACCCAGCACAGCCATACAAGTTTAAATATTGAACTAGTTGCAATGATTAATGTTCCCTTTGTGTGAGGTCCCGTGACAAATACAGTATATGAAACTATCATGTTTAGTACTCCCAATGATTAAGGGACAAACATCATATTTTCCCTAAAATTACAGCGTAAACTAAGCACTGGACTTTTTCTTTCCATTCAGCATATTTTATGAAACCTTCCATGAAATACTCTTTCTTTGTTTAATAAAGAAGAGCAACAAAAATCATTTCTTCAAATCATATTTATGAATATGATTAATGTTCTTCAAGCGTTGAATAGATTTTGAACACTTGCAAATCTTCCACGTACGATGTTTTCACAAAAACACATGTTCTTCTGAAACTATGTACCTTAACCTACTTCAGCTGATCCTTCGATTTAATTTAATCTTTCTTCTCAATGCTTCTGAATCAATTTAATAATTTATAAGTGTACGTTTTCAGACTTATGAAGACAGACATTGGAACTTACGCAACACCCCTTCTCCGTTGATGACTTCCAGTGGGATATATATTTGACGTCATAGTGAAACCTTAGCAAAATAAAATGATGAAAATGATAGTTACAGAACAAATGTCATTTTATTGTTCACCAAGAGATAATGTATGCAACATTATGAAAAACATCTTTTCATACAT